CATCTTCATTCTCAATGGTTACAGTAAAATCTAATGTCGCGTGTTTTGTAATACATGCTTCGTGGGTGATTTCGCAATCTTTATGCAAGTCTGTTGGGATTTCCGTCAAGCTCGAAGCTTGAAGCGGTGGCGGTAAAATTTGTCTTAGTATGTGGTCGGTTGCAGTCATGTATTTTTCTGGCTTTCGAAAAGTTGGAGTCAATTCTTTGCTACTAGTCATGTCCTCTTCCAAATTCCTTGTATTTCGTGGTGTCGTTTTGCAATTATTTTCCGAAAAATTATTAGATTCATCGGTCTGTTATTTTATTTTATTGTTGTTCAATTTCGTAGGAATTGCCTTGGTATATTTCGTTGCTTAATATTTGTATTTTAGGTTTCTTTCTTGAATGCTCTTCAACAATGTCTTCTTGAAGAGGTCTCAACTCGCCCATCCATTCCCTGCGTTTCGCCATCTAAAATAAGCAAGGCCGTTTATAAAAAAATTAAAAAAAATATCTTGTCACCCTCGTTGGCCTAGTGATTGTGATTGCTGATTATAGGTTCCGGGTTCGATTCCCGGCTATGGCAAAGTGTAATATGTGGTTTTACTGTTGTGAAACTTCCTCAATTGCAGCTCGTAACCGGGTTTGTGCTCGTAGTATATTAGTTGATTCGCCACCAGTCACATTGGAGACTAAATATGTCGGTGAAATGCCTACTCCATAGGGGATTACATCTGTGACGATATTCATAAAAAATCTGTAGAAGTAAATTGCTCATTTTTATCCTTTGAAACTACCTAGAAAAACTGCTTAAACCTAATTATGGCAGATTACAAATATCTTTGCTTGTATTAGCTAGTTTCGATTAAGATACAATACGTAAATATTTATCGACACTTAATAATAATCATTCGGAAAATTTACTTACGTTTTCGTGATAAAATACTCAGGTTCAATCTAAATCACACCACTTATTACGGACACTCAGCACACACGACGTTTCAAATCAAATGCCACGCTTATAATGAGACAATAACAGAATGTCGTACAAGGAATGAAGGGTGCGGGCGGAGCCGGTAGCGATGCGGTAACACCGACACAACTTCAAAGGACTATAATTTTTTCAATGGCGTAACGGTAAAATGAAATGATAAATGATTTATCAAAATGCATTATCTAAAATTTCTAAAAAATCACAGGTTTTTAAAAGCATTATGTGGTGTGAGCTTTTAAAGCAAATACGTGACGATTTGCTGTAAATAACAAAAACTAAAACTGTAGGTTCCCTAAACTTGCTGTAAGTAAACGAATGTAAAAATCACACGCCGCAGAAATGCTGTAAGTAGCGTTAAGTTTTTAAATGGGAAGAAGTAAGTATTTGTAAAGCAAAAAATGCATTCTTTCTTTTGCTGTAAGTACAAAATATCTAAAATGACTAGATTTTGGTCTACATACAGCATTTAATCTTGCTAAAAAAATCTGTCACAACAAACACTGGATGAATCTACTATGAAGGTGTTATCGAAAGGTTTAAATTTCGCAATAACGCCGCGAAAAATCCCGTACGAAGAAATAATCTGTAGTGTCGAAGACTGTCTATATAAAAATAACATCGGTAAGGAAGATGTAGAAGGTATACGACAAGATATTTCGTCCTTATTACGTCGAAGTTCGGTACCGAAGTCTAACCTCCCTAAAGATGAATTTAACGCGTTAAACAGCTTACGCAACAACAAAGATTTAACTGTTCTCCGCGCAGATAAAGGAAATGCTACGGTGGTTATGAAAACGTCGGATTATAATTTGAAAATACAAGAACTGTTGTCGGATGTAAGCACGTATAAAAAGGTCAAAACAGACCCAACCACTAAAACGCTTAAATTAACTAGCGATCTCATTAAAAAATACTCCGAAAAATTAAATCTAGACGTGAAATCGATGACACCTTCATGTGCTAAACCCCCTAAATTGTATGGGTTGCCTAAAATACACAAACCAGACATACCATTACGCCCTATTGTAAGCCAGATCGACTCACCAACTTACAGACTGGCTCAACATCTAGTACGAATTCTCTCACCGCTGAGAGGACACACAAGGGCATACACAAAGGATTCTTACCATTTTGTTAGTGAGATAAAACAACTATGTCTTGCTGACAATGAAACAATGGTCAGTTTTGATGTACAGTCTTTATTTACATGCCTACCATTAGAAGACTGCATCTCAATTTTAACAAGAAAGCTAAAAGAGAATAACATGCCGGAAGAGTATGCATTACTACTTAAACATTGCCTAACATCCGGCTACTTGCTTTGGAAGGAGGAATTTTACATACAGATAGATGGTGTAGCAATGGGCTGCCCAGTATCTCCCATTGTCGCTGACATATTTATGTAAGACTTTGAGGAGAAGGCCCTTCGCACAGCTCCCATTTATCCAAGGTTGTACAAGAGGTATATAGATGACACCTTCACCATTTTACCAACAAGTAAAGTTAATGCATTTCTAAATCACCTTAACTCAGTAAATTCCAAAATACAATTCACTATGCAATTAGAGCATAATAACTCTTTAGCTTTCTTAGATGTTTTGGTCATCCGCAATCCAAATAACACTGTAAGTCACACTGTGTATAGGAAGGCAACCCATACAAATAGATACCTAAACGGTGATTCTCACCACCATCCATCCCAGTTAGCTACCGTGCGTAAATCTTTGTTTCAGAGAGCACAAGGGATCTGTGACAAACAACACCTGGCCGCTGAGCTTCAACATGTCAAGCAAGTTCTGCATGACAACAAGCTTCGAGCACCGCGCCTACGTCACAGTGACCGAGTGAAACCAGCCACAGTGGAGCGAGTACCTGCTGTTCTACCATACGTCAGAGGAGTCACCGACAAGATTGGCTATATCTTAAAGCAGGCTTCAATTAATACATTCTACAAGCCGCTGAAGAAGATTAGTCAGTTTTTACCATCTGTCAAGTGTAATATCCCTCTGCAAGATCCAGGAGTGTACAAACTTGACTGTGAATGTGGGCTCTCTTACATAGGTCAAACGAAAAGAGCAATAAAAACCCGCGTGAAAGAACATATAGCTGACATAAAACACAATAGATTGAACAAGTCTGCAGTTTGTGAGCACATTTTGAATAGGCCCAACCACTACATCAGGTTTGACAAACCACAGATCCTTGCAAAAGAACACCGATTCCTCCCAAGGATGATTCGCGAGGCTATTGAAATTAAAAAACACCCTAATTTCAATAGAGAAGAAGGTTGGGTACTACCATCAGCTTGGGATCCTGTCATCAATAAAATTAAATCTAGGCCCAAACGAACCACTACTGCAAGACAAGATACAATAAGCTCCCTCTGCATAGATCGGACACAAAATTAATAATTCAAAAACTGACGGTAGCCCCGGTTAACTATGACAATCAGACGACTAACACCTCAGTCTGTCCCGTGACCATGAACGCTGTAAAGGGTTCGAAACGTCGGGAATTAAAATTAAAAATAAACGCGATAAATCCGTAAAATTAGTTTCATTTATAATGTGTAATCGCGTAAATACAAGAAATTATTAACATAAAATAAGTAATGAATCAAGAGTGATTTTGATATTTGATTTTGAAAATTTTGATATAAAATGATCATCGTAGAAACGAAAATACGATCGCCGAAACTGAATTGGATCACAACACACGCTAATGAACTCAATCGTCAATTAATATTTACTATACTATACTTTCATGACAAAAATATGTCAGTATACAAGACCAAGCAGTACTGAATTTAATACATACTTATTTAGTCTCTTCTGGGCTTGAAGAATCGAATTAAGTTTCAGATTTGGAACGTACTAACTCTAATTTCGTCGTAAACAATGTTTGCTTGGGTCCTTGCCTCATTGATTGACAGTGACTTTTTCAAGCCTAATATTGTGACGATAAATTTCCGTAATAATTTTGAATCTAAAAATGTTTAAAATTAGAGATCTATAGATACATCAATTATTTGGGTATATGTTGCCATATTACAGTAATAAGGAACAACATTGTTTGTTTGCTAGTTTTCGTTTATTTTAAAAACATTGCTCGTACTGTAGGATAACATTATCCTTTGTTGTAAGGACGTTTTACATAAATTTTCACATACACATTTCACGCGGATAAGCACCCAGATCCGAAACAATTGTCTGTGGGTCGCACAAACAGTTTTCCTGTGTAGGGGTTGAACCCACGACCCCCGGCGCCAAATCCAATACCTTGGCAACTACACCACGGAATCATCGTAATTTGGCGTGGTACCTAGTGTTTTAGTATATAAAATTCCTTCGGCCTAACACAATGGCAGCGCATTATCAAAACGTTTTGTTTAAAAATTTCAAAATAGTATTGTGAACGAAGAACCTTGATTTTCTTAATTGAATCACACGTTCGTATTTTTTTTTCAAAAACAAATTAAACAACTCAAATAGAATGCTCCCATTTTTTAGGTAGTATAAGAGGTTCCGTATTTTTTAATAACGTGAACGAACATACGTATATGTCAAGATTTTTGCGCCGTGAATTCATGGGCCGCTTAGCTTTGTTGATACAAAACGTATGGGCGCGAAACCAGAAGACGAAGGTTTGAATCTCGTTTTTGCCCATTTATCTACAAAAACTTACAATTTACAGTGAAATCTGATAACTTTTGAGAAAGACTCTCAAATTAAACTGTTAAGAACCTAATTTTTAAAAACCTACAAATTATATATCTAATGAGTATCTATCGCTACGGCGACAAATTCGTTAGTTACAACAGGCATATAAAAGCAAAAATATAATGAAAGTGAAAGCAATCTCACAAAAATGGCAGTCAATAATGAACATTTCATACGCCTTAGCCTATGGATCCCTAATCAGAAATAGTTAAGCAACAGCGGAAAACATTTTCATTCTAGTTAGTATAAATACATAGCATAGGGTAAACAGGAAGTCATTCTGGAAAAATCCTAAGAATTTCAAACATGTCTACTTTCGCTTTGCTTTTTTTCTGCATCCAAGGCCTCTTGGTTCAGGTAAATAGTTGTCAAATAATTTATTAATTATCTTATTAACTTTTCACACTCAATAAAAAACTTTTCGTAACAAAGTTTTCATGTATTTATATACTATTAAAATACTGTAAATTTTGTGGTTCTTTAATTTTACTCATACTGCATTATTACTTTGGTCCCTTAGAACGTACTCAGCGCTTGCATTGGCGCTGAACCTGCTCTCGGCTGTGGCTGCGGGGCTGGTCTTGGTCTCGGCTATGGAATAGGCTATGAAACCGGTCTCGGTTACGGAACTGGTCTCGGTTACGGTACCGGTCTCGGTTACGGAACTGGTCTCGGTTACGGATCTGGCCTTGGTTACGGACCCGGTCTTGCGTATGGATCTGGCCTTGGTTATGGACTTGGTCTTGGATATGGTGGCCTAACTGGGTACGGCTATGAAGCTTATGGCGGTGAAGGAGTTGGTGACGTTGGGGTCGCTGGTGAGATGGCAGTTGCTGGTGCTACAGAAATAGTTGGACAGGTACCAATAATTGGTGCCGTTGGCTTCGGTGGTGCCGTGCCAGCTGGTGGCTGCGTTACAATCGCTGGAACATGCGCTGGTGGATGTGGTTGCGGCTATGGCGGATACCGTTATTGATCCAACTTATCAACGGTTACTGATATTGAAATTGTATGAAGAAATTTGACGTTTCAATACAATAAACACACAGGCAAAAAAGTTTCTTGAAATTTATTATAATTCGTACAATGAAATTATGTTTAGTTTTCAAGATGCACCAAGCCTTTTTTTTTTTTTTTTTCAAATTACCGCCGTAAAGCTGTGACTGTTATTCCAGTTAAATATGATTACTACAGAATTAAATAAAATATTCCCAACAAAGACTGTAACTTTATGTAATAAAATTTTGCTTTCATGAATGGGCAACTAAGGGAATAAGCAGGACCTGGGATATATGATATCATCTATATAGTAACAAAGTCGTTAACATGTAGTGATCCTAATTTTCATGAGTACGTTAGGAAAACTTTTTTTTACAACTTTTAAAACTTTTTTAGGAAAACTTTACAGTGTGGCAAAATCAGGTTCGATTCCCACAACGGCGACAATCTTTTCGCACTTTTTCTACATAATATTTTACGTTAGGAAAAATCAAAAAACTCTGAAAAGGGTCTACACTTTTTCAGAAGTGATATATTTATACTTAAGTAATAAAATCATGATATAGTGTCATAAATAATTCAGTGGTTTAATGCTAATAGTTTAATTAGCTGTTAAATGACAAGTTAAACACTGGGACGGTACCAATGTACTACCTTAGTTAATTTTCCACCATTTGTAAGTATACGACGGCACTTTAAATATGATTCTGTTTGATGCCGAACTATATACATTCCTGATGGCTATTTATTATTATCACAACTATGGATAAATCTGCCTATTGCAATGGTCCGTAGATCATATGGGTTTACCTCATGCAGATGGTAGCTGGCGTCGTCCCCCGTACTGGTGAGGGACAAGCGGGGTCGGTTCCTTAAGAGAACGGATACTCAGGTAGGAAACCGAAGGAAAAAGGGTAACCAATCAGGGTCAGACAACGAGAGTTGCAAGGTATCCGCTTCCCAGAACAGCGATGAGAATATTACTGACGGAAATCATACGACTGGTATTGACCTAATCAAGAAAAAAGGCAAAGGTGCCAAAGTCAATCCGAAGCGTACGGCTAGAGAGCTCCAGGTCGAACAAGAGGCAGCGGAAGCTGTGCGTAAAGCACGTGATCTGAAACAGGCCTCTGCAGACACGGGTGGACAATCTTTGGCGGACGACCTGCGGGAGCAAGTGCTCCAGCAGGTAACTGTTATCACACACGTGGCCTCCAAGTCCTCCCACCTTAAGGGCACCTTTGTTAAGGCCCTTAGGGATGCAGCCAGAACAATCAGCGACGCCGTGGAGGTACTCAGTAAAGCCACGGTCTCGGAAGAGACCAAAAAGCTGGCTGCAGACAATAAACGCCTTAAAGCAGAGGTGGCAGAGCTCCGCAGCGAGCTATCCGCTATACGTGCTGACCTCCGCCACAACCAAGGCCTGGACGAAACAGCAGTTCCATCCACCTCAAGCGCTTCTCAAGACCCAGAGCTCATGCGACGGTCGATAATTGAGGCCGTCGGAACCATGATCAATGCTCGGTTTGCGGGCTTGGAGGACAGGTTACTGCCTGAGAAGCGCCTTCGCCCCGCTCTGGCGGCAGACAGTCGCATAAATGTGTCGTACGCGGCCAAAGTGAATCCTCGGGCAACGGTAAGCGCCACCAAACCGGCGAGTGAATCAGTCTCGAAGTCCGGGTCTTTCCCTCCCTACGTACAGCAAGAGGTGCAAATACAGCAGGAAAGTAGAGAGAAACGGGATACTCTGGCCAGCAATGATCAGAGAGCACCCACTAACGAGAGGACTGTGGTGACTCATCGTAGCAAACCTCGCACTAACTCTACAGTAGCAGGACAGGCCGAAAAACCGAAACAACGCCAAAGAATGCCGAAGCTGCGGCCCCCTCGCTCGTCCGCTGTAGTGATAAAGCTACAGCCGGATGCAGCGGAAAAAGGAGTCACCTATGCCGGCATCCTTAAAGAGGCCAAAAAAAAACCATGGATCTGGAAGCTCATGGGATTCAGGCCATCCGGTTTGGAAAGGCCCGCAACAGGAGCCCGAATTTTGGAGGTGCCGGGAGTCACAAGTGGCGATAAGGCTAACTTGTTAGCTGAAAAGCTTCGTCAGGTGGTCAGTCAAGAGATCGCCACAGTTTCCAGGCCAGAAAAATGCGCAGATTTACGCATCTCAGGCCTGGATGACTCCGTGGAAAAAGTTGAGGTTGCTGAAGCTATAGCACGGGCTGGCGAGTGCCAAGCAGCCTCCATCAAGGTCAGCGAAATTCGCCGGGACCGATCTGGACTGGGCACGGTATTGGTTGGTTGCCCTGTTGGTGCTGCCGGAAAGATTGCAGAAACCGGCCGTCTCTTAATCGGCTGGTCCTCGGTGCGGGTCAAGCTGCTGCCGCGAAGACCTCTGCGGTGCTACCGGTGCCTGGAAACGGGACACGTTCGGGAACAGTGCACTGCGACGGTCGATCGCAGCAGCACGTGCTTTCGTTGCGGACAGCTGGGTCACATTTCTAGTCAGTGCTCCGCGGCCCCCTATTGTCTAGTGTGTGCCGCTTCGAATAAGCCCGCTGGCCACACAGTAGGAGGTAAGGCATGCATGGCGAACAAGCTTGAAAAGAGGAGGCGACGGGGAAGTGTTACTAGAGCACCAGTCCAGTCGCAAACATCCTACCAGCATGTTGACGATGCCAGGGAGGAGGGGACTCCAATGACTATTCAGTAGTTTATGGCCACCCTAAATTTCTTGCAGGCGAACCTCAATCACTGTGCCAGAGCCCAGGACCTTCTACTGCAAAGCATGGCACAGTGGATGATTCAGGTTGCCCTGGTGTCGGAGCCGTACTTCATCCCCCCTAGCGAAAACTGGGCTGGGGATCACTCCGGCACTGTGGCGATGGTTTGCAGTACTGCTGCGGGTTCTCCTCCTCTCGATAACGTGAGAAAAGGACAGGGCTTCGTGGCCGCTCTGTTGGGAGAAATTTTCATCGTTTCGGTGTACTTTTCTCCAAATAGGACGCTGGCCGAATTTGAGAGCTACCTTGACCGACTGGGATCAATGCTCCGGCAACTGAATCCCTACCCCGTGCTAGTCGCTGGGGATCTCAATGCAAAATCTGCGGCGTGGGGATCACCCATAACTGACGCGCGGGGTAGGGTGCTGGAGGAATGGCTCGTGGAGGTCGGGCTATCTATCCTTAATCGGGGCTCGGTGAACACGTGCGTGCGGTCGCGGGGTGGATCTGTTGTGGACGTCTCATTCGCAAGCCCCGCCTTAGCACGCCGTGTCCGTGGCTGGAAGGTGGTTGTTGGCGTAGAGACTCTATCGGATCACCGCTATATCCGATTCGACGTCTCCGCCCTACCAGATCCCTTGACCGGCCTAAGCCGACCCGCCAGGGAAGACGGCCCAAGGTGGCAGCTCAGAAGTCTAGACCGAGAAGTTCTGAAGGAGGCCGCAATCGTCCAGTCCTGGGTGTCTGCGCCTAGTCATTTGGACGTCGAGGAGGAGGCGGAATGGTTTCGGGAAGTAATGACGCAGGTGTGCGATGCGTCCATGTCCCGGTCCAGAAAGCTTCCTCCCAAGCGCCAGGTGTACTGGTGGTCTACGGAAATCGCGCAAATGCGCAGAGCGTGTCTAGTGGCTAGACGCCGGTACACCCGATGCCGAAGGCGGCGGCGCAGGGATTTGGACCTGGAAACCGAGTTGTACACCTCCTTCAGACAGGCCAAGATGACTTTACAAGCGGCTATAGCTTCAGCGATTGCTGTTGCCAGGGAGGAGTTTTTGGCTGCACTTAACCGTGATCCGTGGGGGAGGCAGTACAGGATGGTGATGAACAAGCTTCGCCCTTGGGCCCCCCCACTGACACAGAGTCTGCGGCCTCAACTGGTAGCGGCGATCGCCGCAGCTTTATTTCCGCAGCGGGAGGAGCACTCGCCACCTTCGATGGCACGACCCAGCACGGAGATGACCGACCCAAGCTTGGATATACCGGAGGTGACTCCGGGAGAGTTCGGCGCTGCCGTCCTTAGGATGAAACTCAAAAGCGCCGCCCCGGGTCCCGACGGCATCCCGGGACGAGCCTGGGCACTGGCCCTGGGGGATGCCCTGGAGCCTAGGTTGAGGGAGATGTTTACTGCCTGTCTGGCCCAAGCCATAATTCCACAGAGGTGGAAGACAGGCAGACTCGTCCTCATCCGGAAGCAGGGGCGTCCCATGGACTCGCCCTCCGCCTATCGACCGATAGTGTTACTCGACGATGTGGGGAAGCTCTTTGAAAGAGTTGTTGCTGGCCGCATCGTCGAGCACCTTGAAAACGTTGGTCCGAATCTGGCGGAGAGGCAATTCGGGTTCCGCAAGGGTCGGTCAACCATCCACGCGGTGTTGCAAGTTAGGTCTCTCGCGCAGGAAGCAGTGTCCCAGGGCGGAGTCGTCCTGGCGGTGTCTCTTGACATCGCCAACGCCTTTAACACTCTGCCCTGGGCTTGCATTAGGGAGGCGCTCCGGTTCCATGGAGTGCCCCTCTACCTGCGCCGTACCATCGAGGCTTACTTGTCGCATCGCCGTGTAGAGTTTCCGTGCCAAGACGGGCATCGAACCATCGAGGTGACGTGCGGTGTTCCACAGGGGTCGGTGTTAGGGCCACTCCTGTGGAACTTAGGCTATGACTGGGTGCTACGTGGCGCCTATCTCAGGGGTGTCGAGGTGTTTTGTTACGCTGATGACACCCTTGTGACCGCTCGTGGCACAAACTTTCACCGGGCCGCTATTCTCGCCACTGCGGGAGTGGCTCAGGTAGTAGGACGCATTCGGCGACTAGGGCTAGAGGTGGCGCTGAATAAATCCGAGGCTCTATGTTTTTATGGAGCCCGGAATGCGCCACCTGCGGACGCTCACATTATTGTGTGTGGGGTCCGTGTCGACGTAGCACCTACGATAAGGTATCTAGGCCTAGTTTTAGATCGCCGATGGGATTTCCGGGCCCACTTCGAGCGACTGGCTCCCAAAGTGGCGAAAGCAGCGGCAGCTCTCGGTAGGCTGCTCCCGAACGTTGGCGGCCCCAACGACTCCTGTCGTCGCTTATACGCCGGAGTCGTGCGATCCATGGCCCTGTACGGAGCTCCCGTTTGGGCTGACACCCTGAAGCGCCGGACCCAAGCGCTTCTGCGCAAACCGCAGAGGGTGTTGGCTATCCGGGCCATACGGGGCTACCGGACGATCTCCGGTGAGGCGGCTTGCCTGTTGGCCGGCTTCCTGCCTTGGGATTTAGAAGCTAAGATCCTCGCGTCATTGCACTCCTGGCGCGAGGCTGCAAAATCCCAGGGCCACATGCCGGCCCCGGAGGAGTTGGAGGAGCGCAGGCGTCGCCTGCGCTCAAACGCCATCGATGAGTGGGAGCAGAGGCTGGAGCACCCCAGTGCCGGCCTAAGAACCGTAGAGGCCATACGTCCTGTCCTCAGGAGGTGGCTGGATAGGCGACACGGCACCCTTACCTACCGTGCAACGCAGGTCCTCTCGGGACATGGTTGTTTCGGGAGGTACCTGTTTTGCGTGGCGAGGAGGGAGCCCACAGCGGAATGCCACCACTGTGACGTATGTGCCGAGGAGACGAGCTGGCGGGAGGAAACTCAAAATGCTGTGACTGGAAGCCACTCAAATTGGGTACCACACCCTTAGGAACTTTGGCTTCTGCGACAGTATTGCCGTGATAGCTATGTACTCTTTGGTGATGCCAAAACGAACATCAACATAACGTCTACAGTCGCGATGGTCTAGCAAAGTGGTGGTGCTGACAGAAAGCTTATTTAAGTGCCCGAATACATTCGACTTGTCCCCAAACCGTACGACGTACATTCACTGAAATTCGGTCGAAGTCGACTCAGTTATAGTGCCTTTGATCGCAGCAATAACTTACGAACATAATTCTTTAAAAAAAATTGGATGTAACCCTCTTTTAAAACTGACTAATTTATTGATTGATCTAAATGATATTTTATTAAACATTAATATTTGTAGAAAATGTGCGAAAAGATTGTAGCCGCTGTGGGAATCGAACCCACGTCTTCGGCATTCGCGGCCTGACGCTTTAGCCACTAAGCTAAGCGGCTGATCGCCAGACCGACGAAAATGTTAATGTCTTTTATCTACACTGTTTTTTAGTATTTGAAGCAATACATGGCGCATCCAGTGTTCTTCAGTCCTTTCCAGCATACAAACAATTTCGAATATTGTTTTACAACGATAACTCGAACGAGAGATGTCGCCATTGCTTTTTAGAAATTTTATGTTATATTGATATTTTATGTTTGGTGTTTTGGTAACAAAACTCTTACTTTTATTGAAAACATTCTCATTCATGATTTCAATGCGATTTACATACATTTTCGCATCCGAAATCTCTCTGACAACACACCAACGTGTATATCCAGACACTTATTCGATCCACACGTATTTGAACATTTATTAATTACTTCAGATTCAGCTTTCTTTCAGCCGTCTCTCGGTCATTTGAATATTTTATAAAACAAAAAATAAAATAAAATCCTTTTATTTTTTTTTTATTTTTTTTAAGTGAATCGTTGTTCCTGTGAAGTTCATTAGTACAGAACACCACATCCGCAGCCTCCGAGAGCCCCGAAGGCACGTCCACCGATGGCGGGACCGTAGCCCAGAGCCAGACCGGAAGCGAGACCAGGACCGTACGCCAATCCAGCGGCGGCGGGGTATCCCCAGGTGGGACCAGCGATCTCTTCGCTCACCATGCCGACGGCACCGTTGCCGCAGCCGTAGGAGACGACACCAGCACCAGCAGTGGGAACAACACCTTCCAAGCCAACGGTGCCCAGGAAAGGCAGCTCACCTCCAACGGCCAAGATACCACCGATCTCGTTCTCAGAGAGCACGGACACACCGACTGGTGGGATGGGAGAAGCGCTCGAGGTAGGGAAACCACCACCGCTGGATGTTGAAACGGCTCCTAGACCCCAACCGGCACCGTAGCCAGCCCAGGAACCGGCAGCACCGCAAGCTCCAGCCGAGATCACGGGAGCTTCATAGGCCAATCCAGCACCACAGAAGGCTGAGATGGACTAAGGGAACAAATACACCATACCTTGATGAATTGTTCTTTCGCTTAAATCTGAACGAAGTTAACCACATAATAACGCTAATGTACATAATGGATTATCATCAAAAACACGACTGAAGGACGTAGTCGTCCTTTACGGTACGAACGGTATTAGTATACGGTTCATAGATTTATGAAAAAAGGCGACAAATCCGACAAGTATTTCTTGTTATTTAAACGCATAAATGAATACAAACATGCAATATATAAGGTGTTTATGTAAAATACTGTGAAAGTGTTAAATCTAATGCATGACTTACTTGAGCCACTAAGGCTTGTACGCAGAAAAGAAGTATGATCTTGGCAGACATGTTGTTAGTTGATCTACTTTGTGAATGGTGCGGGTGTTAAATGTTGGGGTATTTTTATATATTTGAAAAAAGTATGTGGAGAAATAATTATGACATACAACTGAAGAAACGAGGCAACACAAAGTTATATAAAATACGTGACAAAATATAATTACTAAATATTTTTCAGCAAACGCTTTTTTCTCCTCTAAATCTGTTTATAATATAATTGACCATAGGGCGCGGCATACGATATATAAGAAAAAGTTTAAAATGACGTTGTTGAATGAAACTTACGGATTTCCCAACGGATCCCCTTTTTGATATGAAGCGGAAGACTGGCGTCATATTGTATGTTACAATACTTAGGTCTCTGTTTAATTTTATTTTCTTTTTGTTAAACAATTCATGGCCTTCTTCCCTACGATAGGACAATGTAGGGATGTCAGTTAAAACAACTCTTTGTCAAAATAACTGTTAATCGTTATGTGAAACTATTCTACGGAATTTATTGCGTTTTAATTTGATTTTCAATACCCGACGTTTCGTATAGTAGATCATGATTTAAAAAATAATATTTATCCTGATCGACAAATAAATATAAGTAATTGAGAATAGCAGGTAGTGTGAAAGGGCAATTTTGGCGGTGACAAATGAGACAGCAGGCCACATAAATTACAGTAGTCGTTTTGGATACGGAACTAATAACACCGTACGCTATGAAATTTCTCAACTCTAAAATTATCAGGAGTGCATTCTCATAAGTAAAAGGCTAAAAGTCGTTTTTTTAGTCCTACTAGTGCGAAATATTGACGCACCGAAGCAATGTAATCACGTAATTCACGGCTATAGATTACTCTATATTTTTAGTGTCCAAGAAGAAGTAATGCATCATCAGGGTCCCGGTCCGAACGGTGACGTCGATGGCCCTTAGATGACATACCATAGTTAAACGCACGCATGAGCACATGCGCGGCCCTACCCACAGCGTAGGGCCCAAACCCGTGGATTCTGGCTAGCCCACCGGTTCTGCGTCAGATGACGCTTAATAGTCTCGAGAATGAAAGCAAAAACATCAGTTATTACAACATAAAATAAGTAATGAATCAAGAGTGATTTTGATATTTGATTTTGAAAATTTTGATATAAAATGATCATCGTAGAAACGAAAATACGGTCGCAGAAACTGAATTGGATCACAACACACGCTAATGAACTCAATCGTCAATTAATATTTACTATACTTTCATGAAAAAAATATGTCAGTATAAAAGACCAAGCAGTACTGAATTTAATACATACTTATTTAGTCTCTTCTGGGCTTGAAGAATCGAATTAAGTTTCAGATTTGGAACGTACTAACTCTAATTTCGTCGTAAACAATGTTTGCTTGGGTCCTTGCCTCATTGATTGACAGTGACTTTTTCAAGCCTAATATTGTGACGATAAATTTCCGTAATAATTTTGAATCTAAAAATGTTTAAAATTAGAGATCTATAGATACATCAATTATTTGGGTATATGTTGCCATATTACAGTAGTAAGGAGCAACTACATTGTTTGTTTGTTAGTTTTCGTTTATTTTAAAAACATTGCCCGTACTGTAGGATAATATTATCCTTTGTTGTAAGGACGTTTTACATAAATTTTCACATACACATTTCACGCGGATAAGCACCCAGATCCGAAACAATTGTCTGTGGGTCGCACAAACAGTTTTCCTGTGTAGGGGTTGAACCCACGACCCCCGGCGCCAAATCCAATACCTTGGCAACTGCGCCACGGAATCATCGTAATTTGGCGTGGTACCTAGTGTTTTAGTATATAAAATTCCTTCGGCCTAACACAATGGCAGCGCATTATCAAAACGTTTTGTTTAAAAATTTCAAAATAGTATTGTGAACGAAGAACCTTGATTTTCTTAATTGAATCACACGTTCGTATTTTTTTTTTTTTCAAAAACAAATTACACAACTCAAATAGAATGCTCCCATTTTTTAGGTAGTAAAAGAGGTTCCGTATTTTTTTAATAACGTGAACGAACATACGTATATGTCAAGATTTTTGCGCCGTGAATTCATCGGCCGCTTAGCTTTGTTGATAAAAAGCGTCTGGGCGCGAAACCAGAAGACGAAGGTTTGAATCTCGTTTTTGCCCATTTATCTACAAAAACTTACAATTTACAGTGAAATCTGATAACTTTTGAGAAAGACTCTCAAATTAAACTGTTAAGAACCTAATTTTTAAAAACCTACAAATTATATATCTAATGAGTATCTATCGCTACGGCGATAAATTCGTTAGTTACAACAAGCATATAAAAGCAAAAATATAATGAAAGTGAAAGCAATCTCACAAAAATGGCAGTCAATAATGAACATGTCATACGCCTTAGCCTATGGATCCCTAATCAGAAATAGTTAAGCAATAGCGGAAAACATTTTCATTCTAGTTAGTATAAATACATAGCATATGGTAAACAGGAAGTCATTCTGGAAAAATCCTAAGAATTTCAAACATGTCTACTTTCGCTTTGCTTTTTTTCTGCATCCAAGGCCTCTTGGTTCAGGTAAATAGTTGTCAAATAATTTATTAATTATCTTATTAACTTTTCACACTCAATAAAAAACTTTTCGTAACAAAGTTTTCATGTATTTATATACTATTAAAAAATACTGTAAATTTTGTGGTTCTTTAATTTTACTCATACTGCATTATTACTTTGGTCCCTTAGAACGTACTCAGCGCTTGCATTGGCGCTGAACCTGCTCTCGGCTGTGGCTGTGGGGCTGGTCTTGGTCTCGGCTATGGAATAGGCTATGAAACCGGTCTCGGTTACGGAACTGGTCTCGGTTACGGTACCGGTCTCGGTTACGGAACTGGTCTCGGTTACGGATCTGGCCTTGGTTATGGACTTGGTCTTGGATATGGTGGCCTAGCTGGGTACGGCTATGAAGCTTATGGCGGTGAAGGAGTTGGTGACGTTGGGGTCGCTGGTGAGATGGCAGTTTCTGGTGCTACAGAAATAGTTGGACAGGTACCAATAATTGGTGCCGTTGGCTTCGGTGGTGCTGTGCCAGCTGGTGGCTGCGTTACAATCGCTGGAACATGCGCCGGTGGATGTGGTTGCGGCTATGGAGGATACCGTTATTGATCCATTTTATCAACGGTTACTGATATTGAAATTGTATGAAGAAATTTGACGTTTCAATACAATAAACACATAGGCAAAAAAATTTCTTGAAATTTATTATAATTCGTACAATGAAATTATGTTTAGTTACACTTTATTATAAAAATTATAAATTGCTACATTATACAAGGCCGAACGGCGCCATCTATTGCCAAATTGACTGAATTATATATTTTTTTAAAACATTGCCCTTACTTAAGGATAACATTATCCTGTGTTGTAAGGACGTTTTACAAACATTTCATGCAGACAAATACCCAGATGCGAAACAACTATCTGTGGGTCACACAAATAGTTGTCCCTGGTGGGAATCCAACCCACGACTCCGACGCCGAAGCCAATACCTCGGCAACTGCGCCACGGAGTCATCTTAATATTGAATTTTAATTATAGCTGCATATAAACTATAAGTGGCGTCCTCGCATATTCCGTTAAACACTACAGATAATCATTTATATTAAATATTGATGAAATATAATAATTTTATTTCAATAACAAATCGGTTAGGGTCGTAACTTCTAACAAAACTTCCATACATAAGGGGTTTTTGCCATAGTACTGTGCGGGAAGTCGACGGATGCAGGTGGCTAGGAATCGTGCTTGATGGCAGTCTGTGGGGGAGGCCTATGCTGAAATGATGATGATGATAAAGCATATTGTAAATTAAAGTAAAATGGTAATAAATACATAGAAATATTGAGTTTTAATAATACTTCAAATTTCAATTTGAAAATAACTTTTAATAACGATATACTTCAACTAACAGAACTTGGAAGCAGGCAAAAAGCAAAATGAAGAAAGTAAATATATTGATTGTTACTAGAAATATCGTACTGGAATAATTGTCTTAAATGAATTACGCTGTCAAAGCCCTAGTTATAAACTATTTTTTTAATTTAAGAGATCGATATGCAATAATTTACAAACAATAAACCTTTACGTTGTTTTCTTTATTATAAGAGGTACAAAAGACTACTTTAAAGTACCTATATTACAGAACCTGAAAGTAGCTACAACGTGGACATTTACGCAATTAAAACTTGACAAGAATGAAGAACGTGAGATTAACTTATATATGTCAAGGTTCAAGATGTCAAGGTTTCATTCAGTTATTTCACCTTTAAAGGGTCAATACATAATACTTGGTACAGCGGTCATTGTTTCAAATGATAACGACCGTCATTATGGCCTACAATTATTATTCAGTCATGATAAATTACTTGTTTTTTTCTTCAGTCTTTAAGTGGTTTTCATAGAGGCTAATGAAATTTAACGCCATTTAAGTGCTAATTGACGTTCTTGTACATTATAATATATTACATACTTGTTCTTTATTTTTTAGAAATGCATTCAAAGTGGTTGAGTTGGGTTAGGTCAAGTAAGGATGTTCGCGGAAGATTGCGTTTTCGTGTTCCCGTGTCCCCGGCAAAGCGACAGCGCAGGTGCAACGTGGGTTTTTAGTGGGTACCCTGTAACTCCCACATACCCCTGATTTCTACCCACAAGGCGGCGGGGAATCCATAAAGGATTTTTCCCACGTAAAAAAAAAAAAGTAAGGATCCAAGAGAGGAAGTACGCTGCCTCTATGCAGGAGTCGAATGATCCGTGGCTCTGTATGGTGCACCAGTTTGGTCTCAAAGGCTGGCCATTAGACGCTGTAGAACTAAAATTTATAGCGTCCAGCGAAGGATAGCAATTCGGATTGTTCGAGGATATCGCACGATATCATTTGAGGCGGCGACACTCCTGGCTCGCTTTCCACCTGTGGACATATTGCCGAACATGGATGCAAGTGTTTACAACCAGATTCGCGTCATCTGCCAAAGTGGTCGTAGCGAGTCAGTAGAGGTGCTCGAGGCCGTTAAACGGCAAGAACGGCTTAGCGCTCTTTGGACGTGGCGTGCACGGCTTTGTAAAGAGCAATATGCACGCAAACACGCCGCAAGAGCAATTTTGCCGATCTTCGAAGCCTGGATGCAGCGACGGTGCACAGACTTACACAGATAAATAATCACTGGGCACGGCTGCTTCGGTGATTATCTGTGTAGGTATCAATGCAATGGGATGAACCGCAGGATTCCGCAGACCATACCATACGCTTGTGATATGCCCTGCATAGAAGAAGACGAGGCGGATCCTGCATAACCAAATTGGACATAAAAAAAAACCAAATTCAATGTTATTAAATAACTTATAAAATATTCATAATAAATAATTCTTTTATTAAGCGGTTATTTTATTTTTATATTTTGCTGTAGAAACTTATCAGTCCCCCCCTAGCAAAATTTTTAAAGGAATTTTCCCTTATTGTTGCAAAGGTATAGGATTCAGGGAGACGATGACTAGGGTTGTTAGATATAATATATATAAACTATCATTAAGTTTCCTACGTTTATTAAAAAAACATATAAAATAGCAACTGAGCCGGCGGCGGAGCTGATGGTAGGTTTGAAACTTACAAGAAATACCCAGCATCTGGTGTTGCTAGCGTACTAGCCTGTTGGACCGAGCGTCATACACAACGGTAAACTTTTGCTGTAGTCCCAAGTTCAAACCACTCATCGAGTGGAGTTGTATTGTTTATATTATTTTCACTTTTAATGTGAATGTTAGCCAACTAATTATTTTGTTTTTATTTATGTATTTATTTATTTAATTATTTACTATATCAGAGACAAACAGGAACAAAAGACAAAATAAAAATTAACATACAGCATGCGGATATTTACAGCTGCTCCCTTAACTAATGTCTCACTGAGAACAAATTTGTTATTCATCGGTAGCACACTTACGGCAGAACTATTACAATTACAAAGGACACAATAAAATTTAACCAATGCAAGAAAGAGAAAGAAGAAAGTACAATCATGCGTTTTGTAGGTATAAAATAATAATAAGGGGAGGGGCCTCCACAAAAGAGTGGACCCTACAATAGAGACTTCGGGAAAAAAAACAAAATTCAGACTAGTAAATACTAGTAAACTATTTTTCTTTGTTTGTTAAATAATAAAAGAATCTATACTTGGTTTCAGAATAAATTATTTATTGGAAAACTCGACTGAACATAATTGTTCATTTTATTTGGAAAATAATTGGGCCAAAGGGCCACTCCTTTGCTGCCCCGAGACCTCCAGTCTACTAAATCCGGTCCTGATATTATTATCAGGGTATAACACTTTGTAATTGTTATTGTAATTATTAACAATTACTTTTAAATTTCAGACAACGATACACTATTGCCTTAAACCACATTTTGCAATGTCTTCATTCATTAATTGTTTGTCGTGAGGAAAAAAACTAGTCCAATGTTCAGCTGCGTTCAGCATGTTAATAAAAAATATTTAAGACACATTTTTTACACAACGCTGTCCAGTCCCAAACTAAACAACGCTTTTCTATAGGTGCTAGATAACTGATGACAAGTGCAAATTATATCATGGCATCCAATTACGATTTTTAGTAGTTTATAACTTTTTTTTAAATAAAGTTGTCGTATATATTCAATCTTAGAGATACACTTGACAAGCAAAAACATTATCTTGATAGTAAAATGGGAATAGTATGCAATTTAATTTCTGTGTCTATTTTAGTTTGAGCAATAAAAATCTAATAATTTTTAACTTCATGTTCAATACTCAAAGACAACGAAAGATAAGTTAACACTATGGTTGAGCTATAACCAGAAAAATATATATATATATGAATATACTAAATAAATGTACTAAATGCAAAAGAAAACATCTTATCTTCTTTTCATTATTCGTTTGTTACAACGGCCGCGACAATCATTTAGATTTTTGTTATTGAGTTTTTTAGTTATTTGTTTAAATAAAAGTTCAAAAAGTAATTGACGTGTTTGATAACATAAATGTAGTTAACACGTGGCTACTAAATAAAAACATGAGTCACAACACGTTTATTGCGTGCAAAGATTACATTGTTTCCTTATCCTAATGAAGCTCCGATATCCTTTGTCACGCCTTGTTTGTTTGGTTATAAAAGCTATACTCCCCCTTTTCAGAATCATTCTACGTTTGACTTACGTCCTCGAGAAAAATAACCAACATGACACCTAAAACTTTCCTATTCCTTCAAGTACTCTTCATTATCAAGGTAATGTTTTACAATAATCATGTACCGTAAAACGATGCATAAAGGCAAAAAATAAGCATCGGATTCTGTCGTTTAGAACAGCGTTGATACATTCTTATATTTATTTCTAACTTAGTTATCTAATGACTTTTGGATACGAAATTGTTTGATGACAAGGTGATGGTACAAATGAGCGAAATACTGAAATTTGACAATTCGTCCTATCTTGACAATGATGTCATATTGTTCTAGAAAGAGAAGATTGGCGATTTAAAATTGATTCAAAAAGTAGTTAATCACAAGGTGTTTTCGACACACCTAAGTTCAAGACTTTTTTGTGAAATGAGTGAAAATCAAAATCGCCCAAATCAACCATTTAACCATAGAGTTTTTATTGCAGGCTATAGCTGCTTATCCGTGTAGCCCATGTGCTGGTCCTCTGGCAGCTGGAACAATAGCACTTGAAGAAATCGCAGCTACCTCTGGCGGGGCGTTCATCGTTGCAACCGGTTCTCCGGTTCCCCCTACTGGTATTTCGGTGCTGTCGGAGAATACTTTTGAAGGAACACTCTCAGTGGAAGGTCGACTTCCATTCCTGGGTACTGTGAGCTTGGAAGGAGCTCTTCCAACTGTCGGAGCTGGTGCTGTATCGTATGGATGCGGCAACGGTAACGTGGGGATAGTGTCAGCAGAGATCGCTTCAACTGGGCTTACTACTGGACGCACTTTTGGCGCTCGAGGTTTAGGCTGTGGTGCATTACTGTGATGAGCGAATGAACATCCCGAATTTTGAGTGACGATACCTGAATATGGACTAAATAATTGTTCGTAAACTGGTTGTCTTGATCAATACCCCTGTATCCCTAAAAGAATTTCATTAAGAAAATTATTATTATAGGGCCTAGAAAATTGTGTATAATGTATTAAAATTATGTTAAGAGCCGAAGATGGTAAGTGAATTATGAGAACTCGGCATGCTAATTTTAATAAACTAGGAACTTAACTAATAATTTAAATTAGGCGACATAGATTATTAGATCCGACATAGATTTATTGGATTCGGTATTTAAGGAAGGGTTTAGCCTTTTTTTTTTCAAAGCTTCAGGCATCGTACTGGATCAAGAGAAATGTATATAATACTCCTACTCTTATTTTATTTATTACTTATATTTTATTTATTTTGTACATATCCTATCTTATTTTTCAATACTCGTGTATTTACTTTTCAATACTTTTCAATACTCGTGAATTAAATATTAAAACGTATGAAAATTATTAGAGTTCAAATACCTTGGTAGCGGACAGCAACAGTAGACAGAAGAACCATTTTTTTACTAACGAAAAACAAAACCGACTACAAATATCTGGCTCTGTTCTCGTATTGATTTTATAATTGATTTTAAAGAGTTTCCCAAGTGTCTCCGAAGCCCTTGATCTAATACCAATGAATATGGGACCAAATGGGAAGCGCCAGCTTTCAAATAAAAAAAAGAATCATCAAAATCGGTTCCTTCAGTCGAAAGTTCTGAGGTAACAAACATAAAAAAATACAGTCGAATTGAGAACCTCATCCTTTTGAAGTCGTTAATAAAATAAAGGTTCTGCACTCTAAAACCTTTATTTCAAGTTTGGTTCAACATTTATTTAATGAGTTTGAAATAAATAATTGTCTTAATTTATAAATAATAATATTTTAAGCATCCTACATTAATCTATTCTCCAATAAATTAAAAATATTTACATAAAATAAATGTTGTATACAAAGTAATGACTGATTTTTAGTGCAAAAAATCAAGACTTGATTATTTATTCTGTGATAAAGAGACGTGACGGTTTTTCGGTTTTTTCGAAGGTTATCGTTACCGACGAAAATCTTAACGCCGTCTATCTACATTGTTTTTTAGCATTTGAAGCAATGCTTGGCGCATCGTTTGTGTGGCAATCAATCGTTTAGCTCAGTGGCTAGAGCGTCAGGCCGCGAATGCCGAAGACGTGGATTCGATTCCCACAGCGGTGACAATCTTTTCGTACTTTTTCTACAAATTTTAATAAATAATTTTTTTAAATAATAATTTTTATTGTGTCACAAACTCGTGGGGTTTTTACACAATAAAAATTTACACAATTTAAAAAAATTATATTTAAATATATTATAAAAATATTTTGTTAAAATAATAATATATTTTTATTATAAGTGAAATAAAGCTTAATGTATTGTAATTTGTGACCTTATCTATCATTTTAGACAGTTATAACAGTTTTTTGTTCTCTTATAAATTATCATTTGATAATAATCAATCACGTCGTTTCGAGTGTAATCGAAACCACCCTCTTATCTCTTCTTAATAATATCTTTAGAATTACATTACAACGAACGCCTACAATCTACTGTTACCACAATCACTTACATTTTCCTACATCCTATCACGTAACTGAATTAATATTGTGTAAACAAATCTAATCTGTTTGATATAAAACATTTTTACCTTCCTCTTCCACATTAGTTGCGCTTGTGATTTCCTGAATTATTTATCATAGAAAACCATGGGTCGAGTTGTGTTACTTTGTTTTCTGGGTTGCTTTTTGAAGGTAATTCGTCATATTTAAAACATGTAGCTTATAATGTTCCTTGAAGTTGCTAATAAAAGAGGTAAAGTGTTGACTGATCATGATAGTTGTGGCTTGTTCATATGTATGACCTTAACAATCATTATAAAAAGAAACATAATTTCACTTTGCATTGTATCGTTTTAAACTGCTCGTATAAACTAAAAAAAATATTTTCACACAAAATTGGTTTTAATTTTTTTTTTATTCTGGTTGTAATAAAATGTTTTTTTCCTCTACACATTTTACCGAATTTTCTATTCATACGATACTTTCTTATCTACATAATATGCTCTGCAACTCTGTAACAGCATCAGAAAGAACATTAAAAATTTTGTTAATTTTAATTTAGAATTTTAAACCAAATGACACAGATTAACCTTAAATTATTTGGTATTTCAGAACACGTTCTGTCAAGTTATCGCGAACTCACCGTACTACGCGAACTCCGTTGCAAATGGCGGCTTGGCAATGTCCAATGCAATGCCAGTTGTAAACGCTTTAGCGGGGTCTAGCCCTGTCAACACTATTATTGGGAATGGATTGGCGCAAACTAATCTTGCAATGGCCAACGCTTTGCCTGCTGGGCCTGTCCACTCAGCAATGCCAGGTGAAGCTGCCATAAACTCCGCCGCCGCTGCAGCTATCGCCGCAAACGCTGCGAACGCTTTAAGTGCAGGAGTCACTGGATTGGAAAGTTTCTCTCTCGGCGGGGTGCCCATGTCCGGCGTGTCCCCAATGGGTTACGGAGACGTGGCAGTGATCGGTGAACTACCAGTTGGTGGTTCGACGGCGTTGGCTGGCAACGTTCCAGTGATTGGATATGTTACTTTTGAGGGTACGGTTCCCGCTGGTGGCACAGTAACCCTTGCCAGTAATTGCGGTTGCTCTAGCCCTACTGTTTATTAGATTATATCTAAGTTACATTTAATTTAACGCATAAATACCTCAACTATTTGTTTATATTTTAAATAAACGATTCAATTAACAATTGTTATTAATTTTACAAAAACTATCATTTTCATGGATTTTTTTTAATAGTGGGGATATAAATAATGGGTGGCAGAAAATTAGACGTCTGGTGGCTGATGAAGATGATGCTGATGATAATAGGTATGGGACGAGCTTAAGTGATGTGTTCGGCAACGCTCTTGCCCCAGCTACCTTGCCCGAGTTGAAAAATGGTCATACATACACCAACATCGTTTTAAAAATTTGGTTTGCAGCATGACACTCGTATAAATTCATTAAGATGATCCCAATGAAGTTTTACGAGCTACTTATATTTAAACTAAAAAAAATATGTATGACATGACAAGAATATAATATAAACTGTGACATACTTCTGGGAGTTCTTTTTTATCTTTAAATATCTCAAGCTCTGTAATTTCCTGGTTTGATTCTTTCCTGAGAGATCGCTCACAGTGTGTACGCCACGAAGAAGAATCTTCTGAGTGGCACGATCTAGCTGTGGAGGTTCCTTCAAGGAAGCGCTCTCTCTCCTGTCCTCTTTTCTATTTTCATTAACGTTCTTACTACTGTCCTCACTTCTCACTATCACTTTTACGCTGATGATTTGCAGCTGTATCGCCAATTTGAGTCAGAAGATACAAATTGTACTATTTCCCTACTAAATAAGGATTTGAGTGCTATAAACTTGTGGGCTAAAGACTTAGCTTTTGGTTCACTTGTCAATACTAGTAAATTACAAGTGCTTATAATTGGGCAGCTCACATATGCTAAAAACTTTAAATCGATCAAAATCCCCTGCAGTATTATATGACAACAACCAGATTCCATATACAGATACCGCCAAAAATTTGGGTGTTATCTTTGATAGTCACATACCTTGGGCATCGCATATTAATTCTGTATGCAAAAAAGTGAATCACCTCTCGAAATCTCAAACGCCTTCAGTATTTTTATCCTATTAAAACAAAAGTCACTTTAGCTCATGCACTTCTTCTGCCTCTTATTGACTATGCTGATGTATGTTTCTTGGACGCCACAGAAGAATTAGTGAACAAGCTGGAACGACTTCAGAATTTGTGCATTCGATTCGTTTTTGGCCTGCGTAAGTTTGATCATGTTTCTGATTACAGGGAACAATTACAGTGGCTTCCCATACGTAGACGTCGAGACTTACATGTACTATCCTACCTTTATTTCTTACTATCTAATCCTTAATATCTCCGTCAGCGGTTTGAATATCTGGTTCCTAGTGGAACTAAATGCTGGACTACGAAACCCCTACTTCTGAAAACACCTACTCACTTTACCAAAAGGTACGATGCGTCATTTACTGTAAAGGCGGTCAAGTTATGGAATACACTACCACATGACATACGAGCCAGTTCTTCCCTTTGAAATTTTTCGTAATAGAATCAAGAGACACTTCTTATCTACTTAAAATTGACAACAAATGTTTGTATGTATTTATATTGTATGTAGGTATGTATTTGTGTATATTATTGAAGTGAAACTTTGGGTTGGAAAAAAATTTAGTGTAACATTTTTGCGTTACGCGCCATCTTGTTGTTGTGGTTTTAATAGTTGACGCTAGATGGCGTTAGTTCCTTTGTGTGTTCATAACAATATATATATATATATATATATATATATGTTATATTAAAGTGATCAGCAAAATCAAAGGGTTTATTTTTAATTCTAATTCTAAAATGTAAACAATATATTTCGTATTTCAGTTACCATAAGCCATTAATAACACAAATACATAATAACGACATCAATGATAGTAATAATTCTATTACAATTAATGAAATTCAATAATAATATTTGTAGTAATGACAGTGCTAGCTCTAATACTTCAGAGCACGACACTGTAGAGACTTCCTCTTCTCCAAAGGCAGGCACCGCCCACCGTGACCTGACTGCGCCTTCTTGCGAGCTCTTTTTAGGGTGAAGCCTTTTGTACATGTTTTTTGTCATTTGTACAGATTGTCTGTTTTATAATTGTGTACAATGAAGTAAAAAACAAAAAATGTATTTTTCACAAACTAAGATATTTACTTTTTATTCATAAATTATTCTTTCGTTTTTTAAAGTTTCGTATTTTAATGAATATTAAAAAGTGTGTACATTTTTAATCTATTTTCTTTTATATATTAGTAACTTATCTGGACTAAATTAAGTTTCACAAAACAAATTCTATTTATATAACACTGGCTGCATCCGCCCACATTTCAGAATAAAAAAAGTTCAGCAAAATAACAGCATATATATGTCCTACTGCTGGGAAATACCTCCCCTATACAAAGGGTATTCCAGAACAATACACTACGCGACATAATAGAAATTTCCGTTTCGGATCGTGTATGATGTGCAAATGAAGCTGATCCTTTTATTAGGGTTTCGTACTCAAAGCGTAAAACGGGATCCTATTACCAAGACTCCGCTGTCTGCCTATCTGTCTGTCCGTCTCTCAATAGGCTGTATCTCATGAACGGTTTTAGTTAGACAGTGAAATATTTTCACAGATGATATATTTCTGTTGTCGCTATAACAACAAATAATAAAAAATAGTAAATTATAAGAGATATAATAAATTAAAAGATAAATAATAATCAGAATAAAAAATATTTAAGTTTAATTAATTAAGTTTGGCTCCCATCAACAAACATGATTTTTTGCCGTTTTTATTGATAAATATGGAATCTTTCGTGCGCGAGTTCTTGGCCGATTTTTATATCTTTGCAAAGTTCTTTAAATGAGTATTTTACCACAACATCAACTGAATAATACAGACGGTATTCTGAAGTCATCCTCTAACGGACATAATTATAGATAAATTAACGTTATTTACCTATAATTATGTCCGTGTTTCATGTCCGTGACTCGATGCTAGTAGATTTATGTTCTAAATCTACTAGTATCGAGTAGTAATAATATATAAGCAATCAGGTGAAAATCTTAAGCATAGAGGATTTAATCATTACAAAAATCTTTATAAGTTTTCTCTGTTTTTTTATTTATAATACAAACAGCCAATACGGCTACATTTCTCATACTTATATCCTACCAATAAATAAATAAATAGTTAGATTTTATATCACTATAAATTCGTATATAACAAATTACTAGGATTCGCACAGCTGTAACTAACTGAAGCCATTCCATCGGTTGGTACATTCCCGTTAATGCCAACAATGCCGTAAATAGGTATTCTGCCATTTACTGCTACCGTCCCTCCTACTTCTAGAGCATCAGCCATTACTTGAACACCGACTCCTTGAGAGCCAGGAGACCCACTTGTCACTGTAAATGTGTTCCCGTTGTTTCCGAGGTAAAATGTAGCCATGTTACCATTTAAAACTGGCGATGGGTTGTTTGGGTTAATCAACTTAGTATCTTCTGCATTCGCCAGCACGTTTTCATAAGCATTTATAATATTGTTTGCCATATTATCTGCGGAAATAATGGCATTAGCGGTATTTACTGCGTTCGCCACTGCATTTGCATTTGCAGCATTCGCAGCCAAGCTGCTAGAAGCTAAGGTTCCATGAACTAGACCGCTTGCCCCACCATACTCCAAACCCGAACTAAGTCCTCTTGAATTAACCATGTTAGCATTTGTAATTGCGTTGGCCATGTTTGTATTAGCTAAATAATTTGCAGTTTGAGTGCCGGAGGGACTTTGAGCATACACACTCGAGTATGGTATGTTTGCTGGCTGCATACCATGACCCGTCAAAGACCCACTGGTTGCCATATTCGGATGATTGGCAGCGGACATCGCGACTCCATTTGCCCCCGATATAGCATAAGGCACCATTTGTGCTGATATTATCTGCAGAAATATGTGAACTGTTAGAAATGAGAAAATATGTAATAATAAAAGTATAATGGCAAAAAATTTAATTTAAAGTTGTATGATAAACATGATAATGTATATAATCGGTATTGAAATACTTACTGTGAATAAATTTAAAACTGATAAACAAAATATGATCTTCATCTTGGAAGTGGTGATAAACAAAGAATGAGTATATTTATTAAAACTTATTTGTTCTTATATAGTATGAACCTTTTATCTCTTAAACTTATTATTTTATCGACAAAATAAGAAATTCTAAAACGTGACATATTACCGTGTTTTGTAACGTTGATGATCGTGTTAAGATAAACGTCTATTGCAATGTTTAATACATAATCTATTAAGTATCTTTATTGAGTATAGTTACATCAAAATAAATTAAGATAAAGAAAGCTCTTTATTAAAGGTATGGTTAATAAATATTCATGAAATACGATATTAAATTACTGTGCTTGGTCATTAATTAAACTTTTGAAGTAATTTTAACTCATATATTTACTGCATTTAGAAAGAAAACTGTATTGCCTTAATGCATGTTTAAAAAAGTAATAATTTTTAATGAATGGCAGGCAATGATGGTTCGCTCACAGCTATCTCATCCGGTTCCAATCCGAGAATCTTAGGTCCACAGGATAAAGCTAAAAATAAGCAGTATTTAAAAGTAACTTTTTTTCATTATCTAATAAACTGGGACCATCGAAATTGGGTTCGGACCGTAAAACTTGATTCTATATTCAAGTACATAATTTTAATAAATTAGATATCACTTACATGCCATGAAATCAAATGTCATTTAATTTCTCTATCACTTTATTTTAAACAAAAGTATTGGTAAAAAAATTATAATTTGATTCAGTCATATTATATATTCTATCATAAACTTATTACTTTACAAATACATATAAAGGAATCAACATTAGAACTTTGCAAATATTCTGACTTTACCTGAAGCAGGAACACCGCCACCGAAACAGACATTACCCATAACTGGTACCTTACCATCAATTAATGTTTCCCCAACCACGGCCACCTCATCGCCTTTTGCTTCGACGTTACCATAGCCTATGCCGGCTTCGGCAACAGGAGGGTAAGCACTTGGAAAAAATGAATATGGGTAATACAATGGTGGGAACCTCATTGGGGAACCAAATGTCGGCATCAGTCCAAACGCCGGCAGCAAGGGTTGCGCTGAAAAACAGCATAAAATGTGTTCATAACTCGGTTTACATTATTATTACTGTGTAAAATGTAATTAGAAATCAAATTTTGCTGTGGATAGTCGTGTTATTGTCTTACATTTTCCAACGATAGTCACAGTTCCAACTGCACGCACGGGTCCGTTGAATGCAACGTTGCCCGTAAATGGTACATTCCCTTCGACTTCTGTAACACCCTTCAAAAACAACCTCTTCGGCCGCCACGAGGATTTCTCCTTCCATGAAATCCTCTATATCTTCACAAACAAGGCTGATTGCATTCTTGAAACAAATATTTATAAAATTCAATAATTTCAAATATTACAAAAACATTGTTGATAATTATACCAATGATAGAAATTTAAAAATGTTTTTGCAACTTACACAATATGACAATAACAATAATTGCCACAAAATGCACATAAACGTTGCACAATGCATTTCTCTCTTCATAACTTTCTTAAAAGATTCATGAAGAATAATAAAGTCTTGTATTATAATTGTGTCATATTTATATACTCGTATTTATATTTGTTTGTGTTACCGTTCATGATTTCACTTTGATACTATTTATTCTTACCAAATAATTTTTATTTACATTTCCGTTAGTATGTCGAGGTGTAATATTTCATAAATTAAATATTAAAATCTTGTCTAAAATAAAAATATATTAAAATGTAATCGAATAAATGTATTTTTGCACACATGATAAAAATAAGGATTGCAATTTAATTTTAGCAAACTATGTTTACAATAAGGCTAAGTTTTTAAAGTAAATAACCAAGCATCGCCGTACATAAAAGTATGTTTATTTACCAGAATAACGACGTGACCGGAAACAATAGGCATAAAAGTATTTATCGAAATTAACCAACACTTGAGTTTTTTAACCCGTCTGTGACATTATTAAAAATAGCAGATAGTAAAAGTGTTATTACGAAATAGATTGAGTTTTACCAAATTATTTTTACAAATTTTCTACTAAAAATTAGCGTAAGCGCTAATTATAAAGTATTAAAATCGCATCTCAAATTAAAGGATTGTCTTGTCTTCCCACTTTATTGGTTTAAGTGTCACTTGAAAAACGTGAGATAAACTACGTTACACGGACTTCCATGGTATGAAAATTACTATTATTTACCAATTGACCATATTTGTATAAAACACGTTATAAAATTCTTGAATAATTTTATAATCTCGTATTTTAATGTGTTTGAATGTTATATATCATACGTTGTTCAATATCTAAGGTAGTCGTCAAATAGATTCATTACGGTCAGCACTTACATAGAAACAAAATTTGCGTTTTAGCGTCGAAGAAATTTGTATCCAAATAAGTATGTACATAAATACAAATTTCTTTCACGCTTTACGAGTAAAAAAGCTTTAGGTTATAGGAGGCTTATTGCAAGGTGCTTTAATCAGGTTAGCTTGCAATTCCTTAAAAAAAATCAATTTAAATTTCAACATTCCTCTATTTCAATATCATAGTAGTATAAATTATGATCTGTGTTGGTGTGGATATCAAATATATCTATAATGTCAATAAATTCCTCCTCCTCATCATAATCATAATATGCGTTTTCTGTTTCATAACTACTATCATATTCTTCTTCGAAAATTTCTTCCATTCGGTGCATTCTATGCAAAAGCTGAAATTTGGTTTCCTTAGTTTGAATTGTTTGCGCATCGTCAGTCTGAAAGAAGAAGAAAGTTTCTCGAATTAGCACTTGTAAAGATTCCAAGATTGCACAACATATCATTACCTTGATTATATTTTCGAAAATGTTTCATAAATTAAGCATTCCTTACACAATCATTTACAAATTCCTCGTGAACCTGAACAGATTTTATTTCTACAGGTTTCACTTTACTTTCTACTTTCAAGAAAAACGGGTTGTGGGTCATTCTCCTTATAAGTGGTTTACTGCTGTTAACGATTTTCTTTGGTGAAAAATTTTGAATTAATCTCCAATTATGCACTGCTTGTCTATAAATGCGGTTTGCCCTTTCTAAAAGTGTGCTTCCAGCCGTCTGAAACAACTATTTAATTTTCATTAGCATAAAAAGCATGAAGATTAATTTGTTAATTTCAATTAAAAAGATACAAATTTATTGTGACAAAATGACAATAGGAATACGCACACAAATACTGAGAAGAAAAACCATAAAATTCCGTGGCACCATTTTGATGACTAAGAATACACACACTACTAAATATTTTTTTATTTGATATTCCTTATATGTCTATTTTATCACAAAATTTGCCTAAGTGACGTGTTTTTCTCATGTTCTTTGTTTAAAACAAAACAAAAGAACGATAAAAACTGTTCATATATTTATATGTTTATCTAAAATTATAAATTTTGACTGTTAAGTTGTCTTATTAAACTGAGCTTAATTATTGAAATGAAGAACTTTCGTTATGTATCATCCTTTGAAAACATTAATTCATTGACATGGAATCATAAATTATTTTTGTTACCGCTATACCTCATCTCCCCTCGCGGCCTCACCAATGCTGCATCAGTAATAGATAGTTGGCCTTAACGCAATACCAATAATCCAGTTTCCCCGCAACTTCACTTAGTTTGCAGAGATAGGTGGATTAGCTCTGTCCCTGCCACCTTAAACTTGACCACGTACTCTCCTCGTACGCATCTAAAGTTGTTTTTTTCTTTTAGTAAGTGGGTTTTCCTGCATCAAGCAGGTATGCTTTTGTGCATGAGATTAAATCACAGTAATAATAAGCCTAATAATTCACCAAAATTTTTGAAAATGTTAATCATAAGGTCTGATAATGGACGGTAAATAATGGACAGGGCACCGCTGCGACACGACACGCAGATCAAAGTATTTATATACTGCAGTATATATACATAGTCATAGATGATACATACATACTGGATATAGTCGGCCAAGGAGTCATGTACCATCAGTGCCATTGTGTCATTGACATTCGCCACTGTGTGATGAATACACCGAGTGACTGCGTAATATTTGATTATTGGAACAAACAACAATAAAATGGTTAAAAGTCATTTATGCCACTTGCGATGGAAGGTTGCCAGTCAAATGGAGGGGTTTAACCTATAAGAACAGCCTAAGACTCGTCCTAATGCACGGCAGCGACCAAAAAGAAACCTTACAACTTAAGTTACCGAAATGAAGGGGCTGAGGTGTGTGGCGTTACCGTTATTTGTACAGACACAGACTTAAAAGGCGGAGACATATACTGTAACGAAACGTTACATGCTCGTATGTTACATATGCACTAGGTTAGGTAGTGTAGGTATAAAATAAACAGCAAATATTAGGAAATCAAAATATAATACAACATTATTAAATTGTCTTAAATTTAAATGAAATTACAAATTTTTTTTTATTCTATGCGAAAAGTTGTCAAACGAGCAGACGGTTCTCCTGATGTTAAGTGAATACCGCCGCCCATGGACATCTGCCACACCCGAGGGTTACGGATGCGTTGACAACCTTTTGAAAATTGGGCTCCGGCTACCTCACTCACCAGACGAAACGCGAAAGTATTTGTCATACTTCCACTTTACGCTGGTCTTCTGTGAGGTCGTGGTACTTACCCGGACGGGCCTGCCCATTCGTGCAACAGCCGAGGCTGCAGCGTGGCCCTACCACCGTTAAAGTAAATTAACAGCCCATGTATGTCCCAGTATTGGGCAACGGCCTCCACCACGCGACCTCACTGCGGATTGGCGGACTTCACATATCTTCGAAATATATAGTTTT